TGTTTTTGGCTGGAGGGAGTATTTGTTAAGCTAGCTAGGCCGCTAATATATGATGCATGGATAAAATATGTTTGAAGACGTGTAGATATACTCCCATTGTTTCAAATTTTATAGCTTATTTTAGCTTTGTATCAAACTTCCTTAGCTTTAATTGTGGTTGCAGATAACTTAATAACATTATTTTAACTTATAGATATTAAATTAATGTGTTCATATTATACAAGATATGTTTTATAGATAATTTAATTAAACCAATACCTGGATATTGATATATTTACATTATAAAAACCTTGTTTAAGTTAGAAATTTGGATTTATTTAGAATAAAAAAGTGAGCTACAATTTAGAACGAAGGTTACACAGCATACCATACTTGTTATACGTAGAGTAAAACACCCTCCAAAATGTAGTTATGTCCTGTTCGGAATACAAGAACTTTTTTCTATGCTTCTGTTTTTTCTGTGAATGAAATTAAATTGATTTAAATTTTCTGTGAATCAAACTGTTTTTTATAAAATTCCTGTATGATACCTGTAAAATTGATGTGTTTTCGAATTATTTGAATCGTATTGTGCAGTTCACACAAATTGGGAGAAGTACTGAAGTCGACTGAAGACAGCACCGAGCGGCGCCGCCCTCCCTTTGCCACATCGGGCCACCTGCTGAGGCCCCCCCGCAGGCGCAGCGGCGAGAAAAACACCGCCAGTCCACCACCACCGTCCCGCCCCCCGCCCGCCTCGTGCGCCGGCGGCCAGCCACGTGCGTCGTGCGGCAACACAGCCGACCGCACCCGCCGGGCCACGCTCGGAAACCCCCACAAACGAGCCCATGCCGCCCGCTTCTCGCGCCCCGCCATCCGCACCACCCGCCCGTGAACCACCACCAGCTCGCCTGGCCGCGGCAACCGCACGAAAGGAACCACCCCCGCCCCCTCCCTATTTTGCCATGCCGCTTCCCCGGCACCGACCCTACCTCCCTCCCTCCCCCCGCCCCGCGGCTCGGCCCGACGCCACCACGATTTTCGCCGCACGGCGCACCCTCGCCACGTCTCGGCTCCACTCACCACGTTGCGGCAAGGGTGCGGCCTACGACGCGGAGTAGGAAGAGGAGGGGGGAGCGGGCGGCCGCGCCGCGGTGTGACCCGAGCCGGCTATGCTGCAGCGCGCGGCGAGCAACGCCTACTCCTGGTGGTGGGCGTCGCACATCCGCACCACCCAGTCCAAGTGGCTTGAAACAACCGTCGGCGGTAAGCGGTCCCATTTATTCAGCTGTCATCCCCCGTCTTATGGCGAGTTCGTATTGCACATTGCTCAATGATTGTGTTTTTTCTTTCTTTTGCTGCGCAGAGATGGAGGACAGGGTAAAGTCCATGCTCAAGCTCATTGGGGCCGACGGCGATTCGTTTGGCAAGAAGGCAGAGCTCTACTTCAGAAGCCGGCCAGAGCTCATCAGTCACGTGGAGGAGATGTTCAGATCCTATCAGGCCCTTGCCGACAGGTTTGACCGGATATCCAGTGAGCTGCACAAGGCCAACCACACCATTGCCACCGTGTTTCCGGACCAGGTGCAGTTCTCAATGCAAGAGGGGGATGGTGAGGGGTTCCCGAAGGCAATCGGTGGGATTGATCTCAGCAACTTCAAATTCCCTGCGCTGGAAGGCTTGTCCATGGGCTCGCAGAGCGCGAGCAGGGGCACCAGTCCGGTCCCCAAGAGGGTGGCCCAGGCACACCAGAGGGTCACCTCCAACATGACCAAGGAGAAGGCGCAGGAGGAGATAGACAAGCTGCAGAAACAAATCCTGGCACTACAGACTGAGAAAGAGTTCTTGAAGACCTCATACGACAGCGCACTAGGCAAGTATCTAGACATTGAGAAACAGGTGGCTGAGTTGCAGGATGAGGTCTGCAATTTGCAAGATGCTTTCAGCACTGGTGTAGCCATTGAAGACAATGAAGCTCGGGCATTGATGGCTGCACAAGCCATTATGTCTTGTGAGGATACATTGGTGAACTTGCAGGACCAGAAAAACAGATCGACTGAAGAGGCAAAGGTGGAGCTCCGACGAGCCAATGAGGCAATTGAAAAGCTGAAAACCTTCAAGAATGAATGTGGCCTGCCTCATGCACAAATGGATGGACATGATCACCATGACTTAGAACTGGTTCATGCACTGCCCTTCGAGGATGCTGATGATTCTGCTCTGAATGAGGGCAGGCTTGACCTCCAGGAAATATGTCAAAGAGTCAAAGAAATAATTGAATCTTACCCTGAGCTATCAGTTGCAGAATTAGCGGATAAGGTTGATCGACTTGTGGAAAAGGTGATCAACCTTGAACTTGCTACTACTTCACAGAATGCTCAGATCGATAGAATGAAGACTGAGATAGATGGCCTTCATGAGCGCCTGCATGCTTTGGAGCAAGACAAGGTGACTTTGGTTGTTGATTCTAGTAACTTGGCTGACAGGTTGAGGAAAGTTGAAGAAATGCTGCAAGAAGTACAACAAATTTGGAAGTCTGTACAAAATGGGTCTGAGAACATTTGTGAACAAATGACTGAAGCCACCCATGAACTTACTGAATTCGTTGAAACATTACATGCTCCTGAGCAAGAAATCAGTGACTTCGTGGATTCATTGCGAGACTCCAAAGGCGATGCTCCTCTGGAAGATGACTCAGGACTAACAAGTCTTTCTGTGCAAAACGAGCCATCCAAATCTCTATATAGCACTACAAGTGAAATTGAGAAACATGAAGAAACCTCAGAAGGTCTTGTAGCCCAGAAACAGCTAGTTCCAAAAGAATCCGAAGGTGAGGGTAAGATTCTATTAGAAGATTATGCATCTGTACTTAAGAGCTACAAAGATACAGAGCAAAAGCTTTCAGAAATTGAGAAGAGAAATCAAGAGTACCATCTTGAGGCAATGTCAGAACTGAAGGAACTTAAGAGTGCCAATGCAACGAAAGATGAGGAGATCCACTTGCTTAGGCGCATGCTAAGTTCTTTGCAGAAAAAGAGTGCTTCTATTATTGAGAGTATAGAGAAGTCAGAAGAAACATCCAAGATAAGCACCAGTCCTACTACAGAAGACAAAGAGATTGCTAAGTCAGAAGAAACATCCAAGATAAGCACCAGTCCTACTACAGAAGACAAAGAGATTGCTGAGATAGAGGAATACATTAAGCAATGGCAAGTTGATGACTCGCTAGCTTCTTCGGTTGCAGAGGAGAAATTTAGAGTAGAAATTGACAGGGTCTTGGGGGAGAACTTGAACTTCTGGTTGAGGTTTAGCACATCATATCATCAAATACGGAATTTCCAAATATCCTTTGACATGTTGAAAACTGAGATGCACAGATTGAATGATGAACAGGAAGACGGGGGCACTTACGGCTTTGCTGGTAGTTATCAGGTAGCAAAGCTGGAATCAGCAGTACTAGAAAAGAAATTCAGGGATCTAAATACAGATCTTCAAGTTTGGATTGAAAAGAACGTGCTATTGAAAGGAGAGGTAGAGAACAGATTTTCATCACTATGCAGCATACAAGAAGATATATCAAAGATCACAACTTTGGATAAATGTGATGAAGTTCACTTCAACCCTTTTCAAGCTGCAAAATTCCAAGGAGAGGTGCTTAATATGAAACAAGAGAATAACAAAGTTGCTAAGGAGCTAGAAGCTGGGCTGGACCATGTAAGAGGCCTTCAAGTGGAGGTTGGAAGGGTGCTCTTGAAGCTCAGAGAGAATCTCGAGGTATCTATAGCAAGAAGCCACCGAGCCCAACAAAACTTCCGGAACCTGTCAACAAAAGCCGGGGTTCCCCTTAGAACTTTTCTGTTTGGCTCAAAGCCAAAGAGACCATCACTCTTTTCGTGCATGGGTCCTGGGGTGCATAAGCAACACAGTGGTTCAAAAGCTGGGTGTAGATGAGTACTGGTAATTTGTTTTTTGACATTTAATCCTAAAGAGATCTCAGTGTACATGAAAATTCATGTGACAAATGCTCTTAGGCCTTAAATGTAAAAGACCCTCATCTCCTATATCAAATTTGGTTTGTGATTGTCCACCCATCCTGCTTTGATACGTTGTCTATATGATATTCATTTCAGAACTGAATTTGATTGGAAGTATATAATGTATTAATGTGAAATTGTTTAAAGTGCTCAAGGTACTGGAAGAACCTCTGTTTGTGCCCCTGTTTCTCAATATCTTCAGTTGACAAAAGTACAGAACTGGTGTTGCATTGATGATGAGTACCCAGTTACAAAAAATGGTGCTGCAACTGTTTTGTAGTTGGCCTACTAAGACAAAGTTACCTCTTGTCGTGTGAACCTTTTGGGATCTTTAATGATATGGTGGGAGAGAACATAACTAACAGTGTTATGGATAAACGCCACGTTCGTTTGGGCTGGTTTGGCTTATAAGCCATGGCTGAAAGTACTGTTGGCTGGTTTGGTGTGAGAGAAAAATACTGTTCGTTGGCTGATAATCCATGGCTTATAAGCCAAATACGACCAAGCGAACAGGCTGAAAATCAAACTTTCTGTTGTTTATTTGCTGGTATGCACAATATGGTTACATTTTTCAGTTGGTGAGATTCTTTTCAATAGCCATAGAAATGCCTTATCTCTCTGAATACCAAGGCGGGGGGGGGGCTGGCAGGCTTTGTGGTGGGGCGGCGTGGAGGAGGCGGGTGTGAGGGAGAGAGGGGCGGCGACGCAGGAGGAGGGGAGGCGGCGCAGGGAAGAGGACCGAGGCTTAGAAGGGAGAGAGGGGGATAGAAGGCCCTTGGCCTGTTCTACTCTTGCTTAAGATTGAAAGGTTATATCGTCCCTGTATTTCTAGTCCTGGGAGATTTTGCCCCTAAGCAATCTAATCTTGTCCTCCAAGCAAGCAGATCCTATCCTCCCGGATCTGGATGTTGGCGGCGCGGCGGGAGGCCGTTCCTCCGCTGGTCGCGCCCCCCTCCTGGTGGCGCGGTCAGCCTAGACCTAGCCGGCCTAGGCCCCCCCCCTGGGCCCTTCATTAGACGTATGACATCTCTTCCCCCTTCTCCTGGTAGCGCGTCCTCGCGCTGTGACTTTGTTTGATCGTTGATAGGGCTTGAGGAAGACGGCTGCTCCAACTCCTTTGTACGTGATCTCCGGAGTGGGGATCTCTGGTTGAGGTGGATCTGATATTGGTGGAGAATTGTCGGGGTGAGTGAAGAACTCGTCAAACATCGTCTTCCAACGATTGGTCATGTTGCGGATGTCGAGGTCCTCCTTGGAACGTGCACGCTCGCTGTTGCTTAGGCGAGCGTCGTTGTCCATCAGCTTGGTGGCGAGGCCGCTACAGGGAAGGCTGGCGGCGACGCTGCTTGTTGCATGGTCGCTGCGGGGTGCAACGAGCAACAAGGGTGCGGCAGCGGGCTGCTGCTGGTGTTGATGGCGAAGAACTTGTCGCCCAGTTTCGCCGATTGATCGATGATGTTGTGGGTGCTGTTGTAGACTCTCTATGTCGATGATCTTGGTGGTGGTGGCGGCCATCGGATCGATCTGGTCTCCGGATACCAGTATCAGAGGCGTGATGGGGGAGGGGGCTGGCGGCTGCTGTGGTGGGGCGGTGTGGAGGAGGCGGGTGTGCAGGGAGAGAGGGGCGGCGGCGCAGGGAGGTAGGGAGAGGGAAGGCGGCGCTGGACAGAGAGGCGCAGGGAAGAGGACCGAGGCTTAGAAGGGAGAGGAGGGGGATAGAAGGCCCTTGGCATGTTCTACTATTGCTTAAGATTGAAAGGTTACATCGCCCGTGTATTTATAGTCTTAGGAGACTTAGCCCTTAAGCAATCTAATCTTGTCCTCCAAGCAAGCAGATCCTATCCTCCCGGATCTGGATGTTGGCGGCACGGCGGGAGGCTGTTCCTCCGCTGGTCGCACCCCCCTCCTGGTGGCGCGGTCAGCCTAGACCTAGCCGGCCTAGGCCCCCTCCTGGGCCCTCCATTAGACGTATGACATAAGCCAAGTCTCTTATCAAGTCAGGGCATTACTATTTCCTTGAAGAAGGCGGGGCATGTCATGGGCGAGCATGGTACAGTGTAAAGTTTCTCCACTTGTAGCCTGTAGCTTTTAACACTGGAAACACTCTTTTTAAGACGGGAAAGATGTAGGACTGCTGCCGCCAGGGCTTGTGTGGAAGGAGGTTGCCAATATCTTACATTAGATGGACTTGATCAGGCATGTTTTGTCTCAATGCTTTAGAAAGAAATAAAATACAAGTACCTTTTCTGTTTTTTAATTTCTGAAGATTTTAGTAATTTCTAGGAGACGACATATGAGCTGTCAGTTATCAGATATGACTAGTCCTGTTCTATCCACAAAATAGTTACTGTTATCAGCTCCATCACTGTTTGCTTTACGAGGAACAGTTTTGTTCATTCTTGTCTACCCATAGGCTTTCTCAAAAGCTCTTCTTTTTCCTGAAGTGCTTGGTTCCTATTTCCTACCATTCTAAAGTCAAACTCAAATTAGGGCTTGATAAATTTTTCCAAATGGTGCATATCTTCTATATGGAGCTCAGGAGCTGCCTTGCAAACACCTATATGAACTATTAACTCTCTACTGACTTAAGCAATACTTGTCATGATTAATGAGTTACTTAAATTTTTTGCTACAGAACTGGAACCTCATTGTACAGAAATGAAGATAATGCCTACCTGTTAACTCCAGAGTCTAGTTGAGGCTCAATTGCTCAAAGTTCTAGAAGCCAAGAAAGGAGGGTTTGAGTTTTACTCCTGACAAGAGTATCAGTATCGAACCACAGTATGTTTGTCTTCTACTCTCTTTTCCTTCTCCATACTGTACTTACTAGTCCTGTTGTGTTTGTAAGTGGATTCTTTTTCTTATTCTTTGGGAAGTCGGGTGGGGAGGCCCCTACCTGTTTTCACTAGAAACATAAAAAAATTTGTGCAAATGCATTTGAATGCATAATTACAGGTGTTAGATTTGAACCGATAGTGAAAGAAAGGTTACAAACAGATCAAAACAAAGGAAATTGCAGCATCAAAGATGAGCAAACAAATGAGGTTCAACTTCTGAGTTTATCTTAGAGCATACAAATTTGGCGATTTATGATAGGATCATGGCGTAATAGCTCCTGCAGCCTGTCCTGTCCATTTTTGTGCCCATCTCTTTATCAAATTTCTTCTTGTTTCTTTCTTGGCTCTATGTTTCCAGAGACACACCATTTGTTATGCAGTTTTCTCTTATCAATTCAACACAGTTATTCCGTCATTTTTTTTTTCTGATTTCTTGCTAGCCAAATGTTGCAAGTGGATCCTGTTGACAATGTAGATGTGAGTTGCACATTTGTTTCTTACCTCATCTCTAATTTTGTTCTTGTCCTTTGTAAGTGGCTTCATTGACAAACCCAAAAGCACATTCAGAACTGCAGTCGAAAAGATAGGTTGCATGTGCAGCATAAGTTCCAAAATCTAGTCACTTATGTTTACTGTGTTCTTTTCCTTTTAAAAAATAAAGAAGTGTTCTCAAGCTTTTGAAGAAGTGCTACATCATTCTCTTAGTGGGATTCTTCGGAAAAGGAAAGCTAAGATTTCTTATTCATCTCTTGCTGAGAATTCAGTCTTAGTCGCGTTCAATAACAACAACAACAACAACAACATAGCATTTTAGTCCCAAGCAAGTTGGGGTAGGCTAGAGTTGAAACCCACTAAGAGCCCCAAGTCACGGTTCAGGCACTTTAATACCTGCTTTTCAAGTACTCATATTCAAACATAAATCTCTAGGTATATCTCCAAGCTTTCAAATCTCTTTTTATTGCCTCCTCCCATGTCAATTTCGGTCTTCATCTACCTCTCCTCATATTATTAGCTTGGCTTAGAACTCCACAATGCACTGGTGTCTCTGGAGGTCTCCTTTGGACATGGCCAAACCACCTCAAACGATGTTGACAAGCTTTTCTTCAATTGGTGCTACCTCTATGCGATCACGTATATCATCGTTCCTAACTCGGTCCATTCTTGTGTGACCACAAATCCATCGCAACATATGCATTTCTACAACACTCAGTTGTTGAACATGTCGAATCTTTATAGGCCAACATTCTACTCCATACAACATAGCCGGTCTAATCCCCGTTCTATAGAACTTGTCTTTTAGCTTTTGTGGTACCCTCTTGTCACAGAGAATGCCAGAAGTTTGTCGTCACTTGATCCACCCTGCTTTGATTCTATGGCTAACGTCCGCATCAATATCTCCATCCCTCTATAGCATCGATCCCAGATACCCAAAATGTATCCTTCTTAGGTACTACTTGACATTCTAAACTCACATCTCCCTCCTCTTGTACAACTCCGCTAAAGTCGTATCTCATCTATTCGGTTTTAGTTCTGCTCAATCTAAAACATTTAGACTCAAGGGTCTGCCGCCATAACTCTAGTTTTCTATTTACTCCAGCCTGGCTTTCGTCCACTGACACTACATCATCAACGAACAACATACACCAAGGGGTAACCCCTTGTATATTCCTGGTAACCTCATCTATTATCAAGGCAAAGAGATACGTGCTTAAGGCTGACCCTTGACGAAGTCTTAGTCGCGTTCGATTAACATAATGTTATATACATCGAGTAAGGAATGTTTGATGTATCCGCACTTGCAAAAGGTCCATACATGTATAAACATGTTCAGTAAGATGTATTTTTATACCTTCTTCATTTCTTATGTGGAAATGTTACTGGAAGTCTGGAATCGACTTCTTTGTGTTTATATTAATGCATATTTGGTTGGAGCATATTTCTGTATGCAAGTCTGACACCTGTTCATTTTTTCCTTTTTTTGTGAAAGGATGCCTGTTCATTCTTGAAAGGTGTTAGATTCAGCATAAACTTTATGCCTGTTCGCTTGGCTGATAAGTCATGGCTGAAAGTACTGTTGGCTGATTTGTGGTGAGAGAAAAATACCATTCGTTGGCTGAAAAAGTACGGCTTATAAGCCAAGTGAACAGGGCGTTAATCATTCATCAAAGGCATATATTGTCGGGAACCTAATACCGAGGTACCCAAGGAGATGGAACTAATAACCATCGAATGTTAAAAAATCCCGAACAGACAAGAGCACCGCTGCGCTTCTTGCTCGAACGACGGGAGTTTTGGTTCCGCCTCACCCGAGGCCCATCGGCCAGCTCCGCCTCCCCCGTCGGCTGGGGGACGGCTCCGCCTCGCCCAAGGGCTGAGGGCTAGACTCCGCCTCGCCCGACCCCCGAGGGCTAGGCTCCGCCTCGCCCGACCCTCGAGGGCTAGGCTTCGCCTCGCCCGACCCCCGAGGGCTGGGCTCTGCCTCGCCTGACGGACCTCGCCTCGCCCGATGTCCAAAGGCTGCCTCCGCCTCGCCTGACGGACCTCGCCTCACCCGATGTCCAAAGGCTGCCTCCGCCTCACCTGACAACCGCACCTCGCTCCCTCATGATGATAGGCACAGGGTAAGACAAGACGTTCGGGTCAAACCGCGGCATCGAGGTCCATGCCTTGCGCCGCTGCAGGAAAGTACTGTCAGAGCACGACGGAACGGGCGCTTTAGACCCTTCCAGGTATGGCAGGAGCTGAATAGTGTTGTGGGCGCGTACTTTCCGGCCTACAGTGTTGTAGGCGCCGCCTTCAGCCCCCGGGTGAGGAACCAGACATCAACATGGGACAACCAATACAGTCCAAGGAGGGACTCCCGTCCTCTACAATAACGAACGAGCGGTCACCGCACCATCTGCTCCCCACAGGGCCGTGGGGAAACATCTCAGCCCGACACGCCGCCCACGGGGGCGGGACGGAACGTGACCACTTGCAGATCAGGTAAAGGCGCAACATCATCAGCACACATGCGCTCGGCGAACGTGCCAACCTCTGACACCAGCTGGCCGTGTCTACAAAGCTGACTTGGAGGAAAGGGAAGATCCGGGCCCGTCGAAGGACCTTCTATACCCTTGGTATTTTCCCCTTTTCACCCATCTGTAACCCCTGCTCCCCCCTTCGTCTATAAAGGGGAGGGCAGGGCTCCTCACTGAAAGGGGACCGGACGACCGACTTTCAACGGACAACTCACAGACGAACTCATAGAGAGTTCACTTCGACTCACATACACAGCCAAGCCGCCACCAGGCTCTTGGCCTCTTTTCGACCCTTCCATCAGAGACCTGGGACCAGTCCATCTCTCGACCGTTTGTACTCCCTACTACGAACCGCTTTCAGCGCTAATAACACGAGCAACAATAGACTGGACGTAGAGACATTCAGCCCGAACCAGTATAAACCTTGTGTCCTTTAGCGCACCATCCGGGTCTAACACGTATAATTATAAATTTACTAGCCGGTGCTTGTTCGAAACACCTACAGTTGGCGCGCTAGGTAGGGGCCTTTGCGCTTTTCCAAACCAGGCCTCGGATGGCTAACCACGACATCAGCTGGGTCCTAGGCGCACACGTGCGCTTCGGGAGCCTAGATTTCATCCTCACGGTGGGGGGAGAGTTGGAATGGGCGTAGACCGCC